TTAATTTCACTGAACTGTACCTAAATAAATATTTGTATAGGTATAACCATACCGTTTATTTGCTTTTAATGTTTGTAATTGATGATATTAATTATATTAAATCTTATTAGTAGCGGAGCCATTAAAAATAAAGCAAAATTTTTAACCGACTTCAAAATCGAAAAAAAGCTATTATGTCTGACAAAATAGTAATAGTTCTTGTTACAGCCAATATAAATTGAATATTTAAAACATTGGGTTAGTTATCAATACTGGTGCATTGTTTATCATTACGTTAAATTCATAAATTAGCACATAAATATTATCAGCTTGTAAAATATTTAGATCATTCGTATATATAGGTTTACACAGCAGGCTGTAGAATTGAGCCGCTCGACAAATATTCACACTAATATATTTTATATAAATATTAATACTCGTATATTCATATAAATTCAATTTTTATATCATAACAAGCATTCCTTATTTAGTATCAGAGTTAATCATTAGTGTCGAATTTATTTCATTAAATTTTTCACTTAATAATATTATTTTTAGTTAATTATATTTTTATGATGTTTTTCTCACCTAACCGCCTCTGAATGGGTAATATAATTTATATGAATATTAATTTCGATTCGGCAGGCTATCGTTGACCTACTGACCCAATGCACTTGGCTCCAAAACCCGAATTCGACACCACCCGGGGGCGGGCCGCCACCTCTGTATGTAATGATCGGGAATGGATATTGTTTGTTATAAGTCACAAACATAAGCGCAGGTAGTCACATGTTTCATTAGTTGAATGAAACGTAACTAGTATATGGCTTCGTAACTAGTACTACAAGCTATTTATTTGTAATTTCTGTAATAAACTAGTTACAACTAACTTTATCATGTCCAGTATGATCATTAAAAACTCCTATATATATTTTTTTTTTGCTAGCTTTATAAAGCAACATCTTTTTTCTTCCTGAAAAAACTTTTCAAGCTATCTATTTACACATTTATTTTTAGATTCAAAATTAATGTCGATTTAAATAATTATTATAAGCCACGATCAGAGTAAAAATAAACTTAAGATACCAGTAATTATTACTAAGAGTCAGTGGAGAATCGTGTGAGAATTGTAGAATAACTATAATATTAAGGTTGTACCATAATAATATATCTATATACTCATATATGTCATTTATGTACTAACTATGCAAAAAATTAAGTTTAAAACTTATTAATAGAATATTTGAAATACCCTTTAATTGGAACGCATCACAGTGTCTTCTCCTCTTTTATTTACAATGCCTGACGTGATCCACGATGATACCTTTAGGATTCCGTTTACAAAGGGTAATAATGGCACGCTATTACTAAAATGCCACCGTCCGTCTATCTGTCACCAGGCTTAAAAATCGTGAACTGTGATTTACTACAGATGATTTATTTCAAATGCCACAAAACAACAAATAATATAAAAATATTAAAATAAATGTTTAAGTCGAGCTCCGATACAAAAAACGTTATATATTTTATCCATCAAGCAATAATTAATATCTGGCGGCTCTAGGATCTATATACGACGTATGTCATCGTAGCATACCTAAATTGTCAATTTTGCGCTCGTAGCGTGCTACGACGTAGCACTCAAGATATGCGATGCGACAGTAATACAACTGTAGTCATTAATTTCTAATCTCTCTCTTACTCTACTTTTGGATACTTAGGACTTGTGCTCGGCGTTTCTTATTGAGGTTTAGATTTTTAGAACAGTAATTCGACCGCAGGGTAAGAATCAATTATTAGGACGAAAGGAGGAAAATTCGGGTGTTCTACCTGCTTTTGGTTAGTCATCTCAATACAGGCGAAGTCTGATTTTTTCTTTTTTCTTTAACTACAATATAAAACTACCGGACTAGCATGAAGAGGCCTTTGCAAATATTAAATAGACTTCTTAGATAGCAAGTACAGGCAATATAACTATCTGTACTTTTTAGTTTAAAAATTTGGGTGTAGTATTTAAAGACAGTAAATTTTCATCTTTTCTTAAATAACTTCAAAATAATTTATCATTAAATTATAGTTAGCAAAACTTGTGTTTTCTAATTTACTCGCCCCCACCCCACCCAAAAAAAAGACCACCAACTCACTTACGGGTACCAAATTTAAAAGCAACTGTCGTAGTAAGTAGTTTCAGAGTAAAAACATACATACATACTGAAAGTGTATACCTTTTCGTTTTTTGCTACGGAACGTCCTTCCGCGTGTCCAAGCGCGTATGAAACCTGATGAAAAATATTCACCGGAGCCGAGACTTACATACTTTTATGTTATCTATCTATTGTGCTATAGATTCTCTTCCATGTATTTGAATCGAAATAATTTATTTTATTTATTTAGGAAAACAAACAGTCGTATACAATTTATATACAACTAATATGTATTACTACTTACAATATTCAACTATAAAGCAATCATGTTATCGTATAACAAAAATGTTTAAGTAATGAAGCGTGTAATATTTCCGTTGTTGCGGTGTGCGTGTGACATCGACGAGGTGCGCCCGCGACTTATTACTGCATATTACCAGCGTTACATCACATCAGAGCTGCGTCAGCGCGTCACTGAGCGGAGAAAGTATGACGTAGCGAAGAAAGCATGGCTGCGCGTGCGATTCCGATCCACTCTTGATTTCGCACGAGGTCGCGGCGTCTGCTTGATAGCGAAAACGACACACTTTGTATGTGTACCCACATCCACTGTCGCTTTTACATTCGGTATTCAGGTCTCGGTTACGAAAGCTTAACGTGAAGTCATCTTTGTCTGTCAAGTTTTGTATTTCTGATTTAATATCATTAACGTAAAGATGTCAGTCCTGAATGTTCACCTAATAGATTTGATATAAAATTTTGTGATGTAGTAAAATAAATAATTTCAATTCTTTAACTATAAATGATAGTTTTATATGATACATTTTCAAATATTACAAAATATAAACTCATATAAAATTTGATACATTCTCTTTGTATTTTCAGACCTTTCCCTATTTAAACGTTGACACAAGCTTAACAATAACACATTGATAATGAGGGTGTAACAGTGACATAATAATATGAACTTGTATAGGTTAGGGCATGTATGTTGTGTAGTCATGACCTTACTTTGGTAGAATTAATTGTAAGCCTGATTTAAAACATAATAATATATAGATATATTTATAACATAAGAGACGTCTGTGCAAGGTTATTGCAGTCACTCGTTCGTAACCTGATGACTGATTTAAACAAAATCCAGGTCAAGATCTTTAATTTATTTCGCTGTATTGAACCGAACTTGCATTGTATATGAATTTTGCCCATTCATGTATTCAATTCAAAAACTAGCGAGTATAAAAAACAAAGCGACCAATTTAATGAGCATCTCGTAAAATAGCGGCCATATAAATTTAAAAAGAACGTTATTTTACAAGATTACACGAATGAACAACATGTGTTATATAGTGTATGATGTTTTTTGAAATGAAATTAACAGGAACTCCTTCTTTCATTTGTCTCATAAATTAACACAAAAATGGCACTTACAAATTATAAATGTATTTTTTTATATATTTTGCCTTCCGTAGCATGATCGGAAGATTATATGATATGATTCAAAAGTAGGTATTTTTGAAAGATTTATTAGTCACTTTTATTGTCCTCTATCAGAAAATACGAGTATTTATCTTAAATTTGAGATCGTACTGTAAAATTATTAAACAAACTGCGACTGAAAAAGTTTTTGTAGTTTAAAACGTAGATCGCTAATCTCGTTAGTAGGTATATAATGCTACATTTTCCAAGAGCGCCTAAGCTGGGTTTTGTAGATCATTATTTCATACTCTAGTTTAAATTTAGTGTCATCACTGTCTGTTTTTTGTGCATAACTAAGATATATGTAAACTGGTTCTTCTATTTCTGAAACCAGTTTGTTTTTTTTTATTAAAAGTAGAGTAGGTACTTATGTAGGTAAAGTAAAATTTAGGGATTCGTTATTCTTTCTTCTAGTGCATTGCTTGCGCCCCTCAATTGTATTCTGTTTATCAATGGTACTAGACATAATGATAGCTACTGAGATTGTCTAGTTTACGTCGCGACACTGGTGTTGCCGTCACGTTCATACAGTTCATATGTAGGTACCTACTACGAATGATATTCGCGAACGTAAACATCAGTTGGTTCGCGACAACCCTGCCCTGCTGCGGCACTGCGCGCAACTGGGTCAGTGGGCCGCCCCCCGCCACCTCTCCCCGCCCGTGCGGTGGCGCAACCGCGCGAACGCGCACTAACATAGACCTGGATCGCGGGAAAGTGGGTCACCGACTCACTTTCACTTATTATTACATGGGCTCCTAATCGTTTTCCATTGTGCGAGCGGGCGGAGGCTCGCGGGTAGCGGCGGGGCGCGCATGCGGGAGGCGCCCGCGCCGGCACGCGCGCCTTTGTCGCCGGCCGGCCGCCAGTCGATCGCGGAACGTCCTTAGAGCGGCACGTACACCGCCGCTGATACAAACTCTCGACGCGATCGTAACATCACTCGCGACGTAAACTCTTGGACGTTTGAACCGATCAACTGTGGCTGACGGCGCTTGGCGCCTCTGAAACACCTACCCATAGGACAAAATGTTCTGGATTTATGTGTCTACATCTATAGTGCTTGAACAGGTGCAGCCCGCGAGCGGCAGATAGTGTTGCGGTCAAACCGCTAGTGAACTCGGTGACTGTGTGAACGTTGTCGCGGTTGAACGCCGCTGTAGGGAGTTGTAATAAGCAGCCGCCGAGTGCGGCCGAGCATGACTATGGACCAGCAGACAGGCCTTATGTCCCTCAACATGTCCCCGTTTGACTTGAGCCCGGGTCCAGAAGGATCAGGCTCAGGTGGACCCTCGGGCACATCACAACAATATGTACCGCAGGGTGCTGCATACCAGTGCCCTGAACAGCAATCCTTTGGCTACGCCAATTTGGACCCATCATATCTGTTTCCAACAGGAACCGGAGGCGAACCGGGAGCTTACTTACCAGCAGCTGGTACAGTTTGTGATCAAGCTGACACGAAAGATGTTATTGAAGAATTATGTCCTGTCTGCGGCGACAAAGTCAGCGGCTACCACTACGGACTTCTCACCTGCGAGTCCTGTAAAGGATTTTTCAAGAGAACTGTACAAAATAAGAAGGTGTACACATGTGTCGCTGAACGAGCTTGTCACATAGATAAAACACAGCGGAAACGTTGTCCGTTTTGTCGATTCCAAAAATGTCTAGACGTCGGGATGAAACTGGAAGGTAAGTTTTTAATACATATTATCTACTTACTACAACTTCTTTAACTTAATTAAAAGTCGTTTATATGTAGTACATCAAAATGACATCACTTCCTTATTACATATCAGAATATCAGTAGTCATAGACATGGTCACACTAAAAACTATGTCACATTAACTATGTACTACATAAATGATTTCAGTCTGAAGTTATTAAAAATTTAAATTTTATTAGTACCTAGTAGAGTAGCCAGTTTCTGTTAGTGATACCAAAAATAAGTTGCTGCAATTCGTGGTCGACCTTCACCTACTTCCATATGATGTTTGCTGGTGGCCCGGAGAGATGGTACGGTGCTCTAACAACGTCGAACTTTGTTTGACTAATAATAACTTGTCAAAAATTATTATTCAACATTTTCAGTTTATTTTTTAAAATTTATATTTTGCTATAGTTAAGTACTATATACGTATATGCTAATACCGCGTGTTATTGAGTAAAAGAAAAGCCATATTTTTTTGTGAAACGCAGTAAATAATTGGAAATAGACTAAAGTCAATTTAAGGTTTACGTTAATAATCTGCAGTTATCGTTACTTAAAATACCTAACAAATGATATCTACTAAACGGAAATGAGCAATGATTCATAAAAAGTTAGTGTAAAAAAAATTGTTTTTGAATTTATAATATACACATTTAATGTATGTTATGGTTGAAATATTAAGTTATTACTTCTATTTAAAGAAGTTATTAAACCATAAGCATGTGATTTTGTAAATAAAAATATTGTTGATATCGCTAAAAGATAAAAATTATTAGGTAAAAAAAATAATATTTTATAAATCATGAGTCGTTTAAAAATAACAAATGTCCTCATACCTTTTGTCGGCATGGAATATCGATAGGAAATGTTACTTATGATAAGGCTGACCAGGTATCTCGTCTCTTTGGTGCGGTGTTTCCTTGAATTTGTCCATGCTCGCGAAACGCATCAATAAAATAAACGCGTGCCAATTGGTGAAACCGATACGGAACAATTAGCATATTTTACAGATGATAATAGTGAGCTGTACCAACTTTAAATAGCAACTAAAAAATGGTAACGCATTCGCATTGATTTGCATTTATTTGCATCCAAGACAAAACTTAAAATGATATGCGCTCTTTCTTTCAAAAAAATAAATATTTTGATACACAAAAACAATAATCCCGTGTACCTGAGATGATATTCCAACCGTTTCGCTAAGCGGACGACAGTTTTATCAATTGTAACAATATTAAATGTACATCTCAATTAGCAAAAAGTTTAAGACTAATGTAATAATCATTGAATAATATGAGAAAACACCCATTTTGCTCTAAACTTTAGTGTGAAAAGTAAAAATTGTGACATCAGAAAACAATACTAATTCAGTTAAATAATAAATACCCTTGTAATGAAACTACCATAGATTAAGTAACTCCAACTAGCTTTTCGTCCTGAAAAAGAAACAAAATAATGATCTTTATCAAAGCCACGATATTTCGTGACGCTACGTCATGTCAGGGTCACCATGTTTTGGGAAATTCGTTCGGCTATTAAAATCAATATATTTTAATTTTAATAAAACAAAATCAGTATTATTCATAAAGTACCGCAATTTTATTTGAATGCAATTTAATAATATGTACTAGATCGCAATTTTACCTCGTTTTATATTTACTAAATCGGAATAACTTTGGTATGTTATCTATAAATATATATATACAAGTATAATAGGATTTCGAATAATATAAGTTGAATAAACTCAATCAGATATACATCAAATGAAAAAATTATTTCAATCTAATAAACAATTGTTTGAAAAAATGTTTAAAATGATACGCTCCGAGTTTTTCGATGGAACTAGTCTTCTACGGCCGGGAAATATTATCCTTTTTTCTTAGCTGGCTAGTTTTTTGCCTGGCATCTCTCGTATGTTCACCTAAAACTACTACAAAATTTACCTAACAAATCATAATCGATACCTCATAATTGATATATAAAGTCATTTAGAATAATACGAAATAATAAAAAACAAATCCTATAACAATAACTTAACGCATCTTATAAAGTCATGCGACTCTTATAAATCTTAAAAAGTCAGTCACTGAAATATTATCACGTACGAACATAAAAACCGGTAAATAAAAAATCTGTATTTCATTTTATTGTGAGGTTACTGCGACTTGTCTTATATTTCTAGTTCTGTTATTTTTTACAAATCTTAAGACTAGAAACAAAACATATTTTTTTTTACGTAGTCTCTATTAACAAGTTTTTTTTCCATTAACCATTATATTTATCTAATGGCAGTTGTTTATTTATGTTTAGTATTTTCCCGCGAATTTTCTCAATTGTCAAGTTATCAAGAAAGCAAGCCGTCCGTGATCTTTATAATTAAAATTAATCTGTAAGGTCCCGCTGAGCAATAAATCCGAGACAGACTAATACAACTAATTTCAATATATGCCGAATTATGTGGAAGCTATTGGTCTAGTTTTAAGATGAAATATAAAAACTGCGAGGAGGATAGTAAAATTATTTATTTTTATATAAAACTAGATATATCGATTTAACCACCGAAAACGTGTTCGGTTCTTTTATCTCTTTTTATATATATTTTACTCTTTTTTTTTCTTTCTCTCATTGTATGAATGTAGAAAATCATTGTAGAAAAAGTAATGGTACTTTAATGTTACTTTTTCTAATCTATATTAAATATATATTACACAAGTATCCGGTCAATACAGTTCTCTTGGAAAATCTAAACTGCAATACATAACATTGTTATGAACCCTGACCTTACTGAATTCGGAGCGCATTAATTTAATAATAAATTATTCTACACTTATTGCTTAAGTAACGCAATCATAACATACCACTTAGAACTCTCATTAAATCAATTTTAAGAAAGAACTCTAAAATTGCTCCAATTATATTATACAGTTTATTTGGAAAAATTAACTGTACTACTATTTGCTTCTGAAGATTAGGATTTAATCCGTGTCGACAGAAATGTATTGGAATAATAATAAAAATATGCCTGTGCTGTCTTAATGTCATAAGGCTGTTTACTTTGAACCATAACACCTAGGCTCTTAGAATAAAAAAAATATATGTCATTTGAATACCTAAGGGTTGTAATTCAATGATAAAAACAAATATTTTACTCACTATAGTACAAACTAATACAGAATTGACAATCTTATCTCATTAAGAACATGCATTAGGCGAGCATTTACATTTTATAATAGCGAAAAAAGCCACTTTAATTAACTTGTCTTACAAGCGTCGCGGCAGCGGAATCCTATCGTCATTAATGAAGATCGTTCGTTCGTCACGGCCTCGGAAAAGCTTGTACGTAATAAAAATAATATAAAATATGGAAGTAAAATAGTACTATAAGATACTGGTGTATATTTCTGACGTTTTTGTTCTCGCTCCTTACTATTGACGATACACATGACGATATTCAGCTTTCTATCATGGTCTCGATAAAAGTTAATCTATAGATTGGTTCAAAGTTTGTCACTAGAGATTCGACGAAATTATCACTTTGTATTTGCATTGCGGTTAAATATAAAATAACACAGGAACCAAGACGCTGGAAGCTAGAAAAACGATACGATTCCACCATGAACGTGGTTAAGTGAATGCATTTAAGCACAAAATTACTTGTAGTTAGTTCACAAAAATGAATATACTCGTAGTATAGACAAATAGTTTGGTAGTTTTCTTTATTTTTTATTTATATCTAGAAAGAAACAATTAACATTTGTTATATTTATAATTAGCCATATTAGTCACTCTAAACTCTCAAATAAATTAACTTTTTTAAAAAAAACTTACACAAATGCTTAAACTTCATTTGAATCCTCGTCCGAATTCAAACAATCTTTGTTTATGGATTCTTTTAATCAAAACTATTTTATCGTTGACTAATCAACAGTATAATTAAAATAACTACAATAGTTGCTTTTACTTCAAAACTAAACCGTGTTTACATACAAAAATTATATAAATTATATTTAATATAGCAACCAAGACTTGGACCAAGGGAAATAACCCATCAGAAAATGAATCACAATTTTGTAGTTGAGTTCGGAAAGAAATAAATAAAGCCGAAAGAATTACATAACAATCTAACGTTTTTGTTTCTAACAAGGCATTTAATTGTGTTCGACGAAAGAACAACTTGCATACCTATTTTATAAGTATTATTTGCGTTATAATGACACTTTAGCTATCATATTAGAATGGAAATTGTCTCGTTTATAAATAATAAAAATATGATGTAGAGCTTACACTAGAATTGAAAAAGGGTTGTGTCAATGATGATGAGGAATGGGAAAAATATGGTTACAGGTAAATATTTTTAAGCATACTTGCATAATTATTGAATCGTAGCTAGGCAATCGCGTGGGGCGGAGCTTGAAGAGCAGATCGTTCTAAATTTAAAATGCGCGCGGCCGCAGAGCGCCCTGACCTACTTGCGAGCGGGGCCGAGATGTAATATTTAACGATCATAATTCTAGTGTCACTAATTGGCTTAACGTCACCTTGATCTCGTTATGTCTCATAACATCGCTACTCAACATTAAAAGTATAAAAAGTTCTCGTCTAATTTGCTCCTTAGATTAATATTAAATCCTAAATCACGAATGCTCACTTACTCTCCTGCGTAGAGATAGGGCCAAAATAACAACTTTGATAAAAAAAGAAAACAGACATACAAAGAACAAGCGTTTGCAGCAAGCATATGTCAGATGACACAATTCACACAAATCGTTGGCTGACCCGAATAGCGAGTGTTGCGCGAGCCTCGCACCGCCCGGCCCGACCCGCGAGCCTTGTGCAATGACACCACTGAAGTACTAGCTCAGTGGCTACCAATAAATACGACCGCATTTAAATTACATTTGAAACCTAAATACAAAAAATTAAATCATAAACCTAGTGATCTAGACGAATTAAAAAATACACTCCAAAAGTCATCCAAATC